TAAGAAGCCAAGCCCTAAAAATGTGGTCATTTAGGACACTCCACTGTCAAAGTTCAGATCAATAATCTCAGTGTCCCACTGAAACGCTCATTGCATAATCAGCTTACATCTGCCAAAGCTCCCACATTAGCTATAATATTCATATTGTCCTGTATTGCTTTTTAATTTGCTTTTGCACTGGGAAGCAGCTCAGACGTTGTACCCTACAGGTGACTGGATTTCACTTAGAGGTAAAGTGACCCCCATCATGGAGGCATTTGGACTTCAAACTGCTTTATATATTGAAAGGGTGTAGGTTGTAGCTGTGTTGGTCGAAGGACACGGGCAGATAAGGTTCTGTGGGTGAATCTCATATCTTTTATTAGACCAACATAAAAAATTGGAAATCATTTTTTTAGGAAGCTTTCAGGTTTAAAAACCTTTCATTAGGCTGAGGAAGTCTCTGCAGTTGGTGCGTGCCCTTCCTATTTCCGGTTTTACTTCAGGTGTGTAATACGCGGAAGGGACGTACAAAGCGGCCGCTTTCTTATAATGCAGATGAAAATGCAAATCGTGTATGGTTCAGCACATAAAAGGTGCTGAAATCATTGTAAGAATCCTAAAAATCAGTAACTGAATATTAAAAGCAAATCCCCAGTTTCAAAGGAAGTCCTTGTAAATACACAGAAGTCAGAATGGCAAGAGAGCAAGAACAATGCGAGCGAATTGCTGAATTGCGTTCAAAGAGTGAACACCAGGATCCAGCTAGAAGCCAGCCACTTTAATCCATAATCAGAAGAACGAATGCACAGACCAACTAATGTGCAAGCCAAAAGAGAGGGCTGAAAAATTGCGCATTTTAAATGTACGGGACAAGTCAATTTGATGAGAGAGAACAGCCAAGTTACTTATAAACTGAGCAAGGCAAATCGAAGATGGACATCTCTTCCTCCTCTACCCCCCGACTCGGGAGTTGTACCGCACGACTTAATTTGAGGGCCTGAGAGCAAATGTGCAGCACAGGAATGGCAGAGGACGAGAATGGAGCGCTGCGTTCGGATGGGCTTAATTTACCGAATCAAACAAATGCTTTGAAGGATTCACAGATTTTAAGGTCAGAACGGGCAGTTTTAATCCTCTCATCTGAAGTCCCCCATTGCACAAGCCTTAGTATTATAGAGTAATTGAGTCCAGTAACTTTTGCTGGAATGTCCTTTAGAAAGCCAGCTGTTCCTGATTTCAAGTGGTGGAGAGTCCATTGCAACCCTCAATCAGCTGTGTTCATAGCTAAATACCTTGACTGTGTGCATATGTGCTGGGCTGGATCTAAAGTGAGCGCAGAGGCATGATCAGACTGCCACATTTTGGAGCATGGGAGCAGCATCGGGGACTTTAAGTCCCTGAAGCAAATAACTACCCCCCTCCCCTTTGAAATTCATATGAATTTCAAAATAAGTAATAAACCTGCCATGTAGCATCTCCTAAGTTTTTCAAGTTACCATAAAAAAGAAATTTTGGGTTATCCCTTTGATACCAGGGAAACGTAGTAAACACACTGACTATTTTGGTGCTGAAAGGTAAGATATATCCATCTCCTACGTCAGAGACAGTAAAGAAGCAGGAAACGCTAAAGTTGGCAATTTTACTGAGGGTTTTTTTCTGACTTCTGTGAAAGTGGAAAATGCTCTGAATCAATATTTCTCTATTTCTTCTGGAAGTTTTTTTCAGAAGTATCAAACCAGTGCTGTATTTTGTTAACGACCTACCTTGTTTAATTCCTTCATCTTCCGGATCTCTTTCTGCACACGGACGGTTTCAGAAAGGCCAGAGTCCGTTCCTGAAGGCCAGGAGTGTTTCCAGCACTGAAGATGAACATGCTTCCCTTGAGAACTCCTTTCCCAATCCTCTTTTGGAGAAAAATACTAGCATTTTCAGGTGTGAGAGCCTGAAAGCTGGCACAAAAAGACAGGTTGGGGGGGGGGGGGGGGGGGTTTGCTATTTCTTAGTTGCTTTAATAAAAGGTATCGTCTTTGAACCAAGAGTTCTAGATTTTTGCATATACTTTTTCTTGGTGATTATGACTAAGTTTTACATATGCTTGTTTTTGCACCTATAGTTTGGCCACGTGACAATTGCTATAGTGGCACCTTTTACAGATTGAGCCGTTATGGCATACTTCCTTCCAGCAAAGCCCTCCGAGTGAGATCTCACACTTACACATGGAGTTGCTAAGAAACAGCCACAGTTAGGTGTCATGTGTTCTCAAGCAGAAACTCAAAAGCTAATTACTAAGCTTTTCTCCTCAAAATCCATCTTTGACTGGCATGCAATGATCGGCATCCATAAGTGCCAAAGAGTAACATGGGCTGTATCTGGTAGCTGTGTTGGTCTGAGACAAAATTAAATGCAAAACTCTATAACTCTTGCTTCAGAGATGATTCCATTACTTAGACCAACTAATAAATCACACCAAAAAAATTATGTTCCTTTGCAAGCTATTGGGCATATGCATAGGCTCAGGGAAAAGTAAAGATAGTTAAAAAGTCCCCATAGGTAGAAAATAAACTTGATTTTGTACAGGGTAATGTGGAATTCAGTCTTGAGCCATTTCAACTCTGTAGTAAACCAAAAAAATGCATAGTTAAAAACTTCATCAAAATGGTTTTAGGTAGCATACTCAAGCACACAAAATTAAGAGATATTAGATTGATCCTTGCCATTGGAGCAGATTCTGTCACTTTTTCTTCCATCCTCCGTACTAAATGAGGGGTTGTTTTTTTTCTGGAAACAATAATGTGAGATGGTGAAATTAAAGCCACCTCATAATACATGTACATAAGAATATATCATCCTATAAAGAAGTGCTTTTTATCAATGGCTAATATTAAACTTTGTTGACCACAAGAATTTGGGCAATTCAACTCGTTGCAAATCGTGCACAATAGCGTCTAATGTTCAAGAGCCAAACACGTTGAGATGATGACTTCCCAGACTTCCACTCAGTGTTGTTTTATAAGCTCTCAGACATTTTCACGACACGTGTATAAAACAGAAGAGTGCAAAAATGAGGAAGGGATCAATATTTTCCTACTCACTACTCGCAGTCACTGGTTCAGTCACTTGGGGATCCACAACTGATTCAAGGAGGCTTTCCCAATAATGCATCTCTTCCAGTCTGATTAGGAAGGACGTTCAACACCTAGAGTGACTAGAAAGGGGGCTCTTGGTGAGGAGAGGGAGAATGGGGGTCCCCGGTTGATGGAGCTAGCTATGACTGAGGAAGGTTGACCCCAGAAGATTTTCATAGGAGTTCCAGCAAGATTTCCACAGCCCTATAAGGTTTCTGGATGTAGGGTGTGGATTTTATCAGTTCTGTTTTACCATGCTCTGTTGTCAAAGCATTTGATCACTTTTGCTTTTTGATACCCTTTGCCATTTTTATACCATGTTTACTTTTCCTTTTTTTTTAATACCATTTTCTTTTTTATACCATATTTCCTTGTAATGCAAAATTGCCTTTTATTTAGACCCAATTTCCTTTGATTCTTCTGCTGTTTGGCCAAACTGTCTGCGGCAAATCATAATTTCTGGGCAAGTTAATAACCCGGGTGAAACCATTCAACGGAGTCAGGGGTCAGTAGGCTTGCACAAACTCGGGGTGTGCATCTGAGAGCACCATTTTGTCACACAACTGTCTTACAATTTGAATGTGTAATAATTTGCCTTGCAATTCGAATGCATCATAACAAACTGGAGAACAGGGAAAGAATCCAGACTTCCAGTGCTATAAAACATGAGTGTCTAACTGCCTGCAGGTAAGATTTCTAACCTTGAACAATCATTGGGCCCTTGCTCAACAACTATTTTTGCTCTGCTTTGCTTTGTTTCTGATTGACCTTGATATATGAAGTATACTGAGTCACAGACCTCTAAGCAGGGTGAATTGCAGCACTTGGAAAGTAAATAAAAAGGGAATCCAAGAAAGAGAACGCAGCTTCGCTATTCTTCACTGATTTTCTGAAATGCCCCCGAGCCTCCCTGCATTGTGTGACTTTGTGTAGACTTTGAACTGGCTTTTTCCGACTAAAGTTTAAACACAAATGCATGGATTAGTTGAGTTATTTCTCCTGCAACTTGAGAAAGAGCACAGAAATTGATATCTCACTTGTAGATACCCCAGCGGCTCTCAGATAGGTGGTGCAGCTCCCAGGACAGTGGGGCCTAAGCCCCCTGACCTGAGCTTTTAGGAATAACCAATAAAACAAACAATAATGGTGACATGTGAATAGGTTGAACAACCTCCTAAACTGTAGAAGCATTGTCTAATGGTAGTGTTAGAAGCTCAAGCATGCAAAATAGTCAACATGAGATGATACGACGTATTAAATAATATACATTAGGGGATAAGTCACTGTTGGATCAGTAAGCAGAGCAGATGATCTAATAGGTCTTGTGCATTTTTGTCAAACTGAACACTGCTGGCAAAATATATTGTAAGTAATAAGAATTTTTTAAATTGTATATAAGGACATAAGAATGACCATATTGCACCAGATCATAGGCCGATGTAGCACAGTCTTCTCTTTTTCACAGTGGCAGAGTGGATGTTAATGGGATAATATTTAAGTAGGGTATATCCAGGATGATTTATTCCCTGCCCCTCTCTTCCTACAGCGTCCAGCAGTCAGGACCCTATGGTAAGCATCATTGCTCAACTATGGTAGTACTCACAGTGTTTTTAGTTGCTTCCCAGATTGGCAAGAAAAAATGGTAGGAGGAAGGAGAAGGAAGCAATTTATGCATGAGCCAACTTCATTCATTATAAGCAATGCAGGTGCTGTGGGCAAGGTGGGGCACTCGATGGATGAGCTCAAAGCAAGTGTCTCCCTCTTCAAGAGTTGAGAAAAAGAGCAAATAGATGTGACTGAGTGAGATGAGTTGGGTGGGAACATCTGGAGGAGACTAAAAACTCCCAAAGAGCCACATTTGAACCTCACTTCTTGTTATATGGTGTGTTGCAGATAGTCTGGGACTCGATTCTGACATCTCAAAGGCAAACTCCTATGGCTTTATTGGATGCCTGTCATCTGTCCGGTACAATCATATAGCTCCCCTGAAGGCCGCCTTGAGACATCCCAGCATCGCTCCTGTGACTGTCAAGGGCACCTTGACTGAATCCAGTTGTAGATCCATAATAGAGGCTGATGTGAACACAGTCACGACAGTATACTCTTCATCAGGTAAGTCCCTGCAAAAAGTTAGTCTTTGGGTTTAATCTTTATTTCAGAGGTCAGCATCTGTTCCACGTCCTGCACTTAATGTAATTATGATAGTGGAAAACAAGGTTGATTTGGAAGTTGCCTTCTCTCTGTTATAATAACCAGATATGTGGGTTATATTAACAGAAGGGTTGTAAACAGGTCATGAGAAATAAATATTCCTCTCTGTTTAGCATTGGCCTAACCTGAAGCACTGTGTCCAGTTGTGGGTACCACAGTTCAGGAAAGATGTGGACAAATGGCAAAGAGCCCAGAGGAGAGCAATGAAAATGATTTGAGATCTAGAAAAGATGAGATAGCAAGAGAGGTTGGGAGATCTTGGATGATTTAGTCTGGAGATGAGAAGACTGAGGAAGGGATTGGTGATGCTCCACAAATACAAAAAGAGTTGTTATAAAGAGGATCGTGATCAACTATTCTCTGCGTGTGTTGGGGAAAGGATAAGCAGTAATGGCCTGAAATTGCAACAAGAGAGATTTAGGCTGGATTTTAGGAAGAACTTTCTATATATGAGGGGTTTTGAGCGCTGGAACAGATGGACAGGTGGTATATCTTCATCTTTGGAAGTTTTTACATTCAGGTTCAACTTGGCTGGGATGGTTCAGTGGGGGCTGATCCTGTTTTGAGCAGGGGTCGTTTAAGGTGACCTCTGAGGTCCCTTGCAGCCCCCCTTGTCTTCCACCCATGATGCTGTGAATATACAACTAATGTCTCTCCAGTTGCACATCACCCAGGCACCTAAAGCAAATGTTTAATTTCCTGCATTGCCTGAAAATAGAGATATGTGACATTATAGGAGAACAAAGCCTGAGTCCCAAAGGTTGAGTCCAAGCTGCATTTCCAAAACGTGGGAATGGCATTGCCATTACAAGCAATCCATCCAGTGTGGCACTATGGTTCAGTGGTTTTCAACCTCTTTTCATTTGCAAACCCCTAAAAAATGGTTGAATGGAGCTGCCAGACCCCTTTGAATTGTAATTGTGGGTATTCACATACTTTTGATTGATCATAGCCATTTTTTATAGACCCCTTCAACATAGTCTGTGGACCTCTGGAGGTCTGCAGACCACAGGTTGACAACCACTGGAGCAGCATATGCTCCAAAGCCAGATGCTACTAACCATGCCACTTACTAACCACAGTTCTGCCCTAAGCAGTAGAAATGCATGGGTGTTTCTGATAGAAACTTCTTATCTGTGTGTGTCTTTGGCTGGATATTTGTATTGTATGTCCTCTGGTTAAATGGGAGGCATGTCACTGGAATGATCCTGGCAGATGATCCCAGCAGTTCATTCATCCCTTGCAATCGTGAAGCTGCCCTCTGAGAATTTTAAGTGGCGTGTGTGTGTGTTTGTATGCAGGGAATGAGGAGAGAGCAGCTGGTAGTTCAGTCAGTGAAGATAGGGACACACTTGCTGCTGCTTTAGTCACTAGTAGATCTAGAGAAATCCTACTGACCAGAAAGGGTTATTAAACAGAATGGGTTGTGTTTCGTTTTGTTTTTTAATCTTCCTCAAACCATGAATTCACTTTCTCTCCCCTTTGGGTAACTAATAAAGCTTCCGGTGTTTTATATCCTAATACCATTTCCGTGACACATGCACTGGCATCAAATCCCCATTTCCTTCAGCTTCCACCCATGGTGTTCAACAGAAAACAAATGATGCCATTAGAGCTTGGCATTGTGAAAAGGAATGATGATTGCTCTCTATATGGGAAATGGATTCCAATTTATGTGTGCTTCACCCGCCCTCCCCCTGCCCTTAAATTATCTCATGCCTCTGTGAGGTAGGGAAGAAGCATGACTTCTTCACAGCAAAATGCTAGGCATGTATGGTTATGAGAGTACACACATTCTTTCTCCATTCCTCCTTTGCTTTGGTAGCCGATTTTTGTTCTCATCTATCCCTGCCATCCATAGAAGATGACAGTCTAGGGAAAACCCTGGGTCTCAAGAAGGGAGTTCAAATCATAAGACAGAACGGAATAGGATTTGCCCATTTAAACTTTGCAGTTAAGTAGACACAATGAAAAGTTAAGGTTAATCAGGCACAGTGATATCTGAAAATGCAGGACCATGGGGAAAGCATTATATTGGGTCTGCAATTTTGTGCTTAAAACAGTGTCACCTTTTTCTTAATGCCGAATTAATCAACACTTAATAAAATCTCCATATTCAAAACAAACTTGCTTTATAGATCTTACCGAGACTTATGCATTTTTACCCAATGACTCTTTAAATGCCAGATACAGTGATGTATCTAGTTGGGGGTCGTGGCATGTAAGCCGAGGTGCTATTCTGAATCACATATTGAAGACCGAGAGAGAGAACGGGTCCACCAGAGTTGCATCAATGTAAGCTGAAGGGGACTCTGACCTGCCGTGCACGGAGTGGTCTGAACACCTGCTCATAGCGTGTCCATTGCACCCTCTTGTGTAAGCCGGTGTGTGGGGAGAGGTGGCACAGGAGAGATTTGCAAGTCTTGAGTCACAAAGTCAGTGTCCCATAAGATGCAGTGTGCTAGGCAGAGGCCTGGAGAAGGCAGAGCGCTGGATGCATGGAGCGCTTTATTTTTCTCAAAGGAAAATCAGAAACTTTGGAGTTGGCTATGAGCAATCTACCATGCTGGCTTTTCCCCTGTCCAAACACAAGCCCACAGGCTTTCCTGTTAGACCCATTGGGTTGTGTCTATAGTGTAATAAGGACTACCTTTCTGAAGCTTTCCAAATAGTGCAGTCTGGGCAAGCATCCCAGAGCTGGGAATTTCAAGTAGGTGAAGAAGCATTATGGAAAAGACTCTTGCTTTCTGCCTCCAGTGCTATTGATGCAGTTTTATCAATGACTCTGCCATGCAGAATGCACAAACAACCAGGAATGAATCCAAGGACTCGCATCCAAAGTAGGAACTACCTACTTGAACCACAGGGTCAGGTTTCTTGTTTGTTTGCCTTCTCTCTATAGATTGCTTTCCTTTTTGGCTTCTTAGTGGCCTTGCTTCAATGGGAAGGTGCTTTCAGTGCTGCCTTGTAGGTGGTTGTGTTAGTGCTGCATGATGTGGGAGATCAGGCTTCAAATCCCCTGGGGTAGGGAGAGGTAGGTTTATAACCTGGATGCCCCATGTCTCTCGTGTCCTAGATAGCAGGTCTGCTTGTTGGGTCACTGGGTACCAACAGCCCTTGCCCCTATCTCAGTACAGCATCAAGTATATGCTAGTCAGGGTTTATACCCACCTGCAGTTGCAGGGGTTGTGCAGCATTTCTGTGTCCACAGTGCAACTGAATTGCAATGGAGCGAAGTGCATATCGATTTTTCAAGGGCATTCGTGAATCGTTCTGAGTATAAGCAGCAGGACAAGCTTGGGTAGGTAGGGTAAAAATGTAGCTGCTTAAGGTCAGCTGTGTACACATGCTTCAGACCATTACATAAGGCAAAGTAGAATAATATTAGATGAAAACACCTGAAAACTACATGTCACACACTTAAGCAGTAAAATAGATGATTGCTCTGTATGTCTTGTTGTATAAGTAATGTGTACCTTGCTCTGTAAGATGCTGCACTTTGCTTTACCTTATATTTTGTTTTAATTTACATATAGATTATCCTGATTTGGGAAAAGACTGTATTTTTGAAGCCATCACAGGGAGATAGAAATAAGGCTGACCATTTGACTTTGCTATTAATCTCTCAATTTATCAGTTCTAAATTTATCATCTCTGCACATCTGAGCAGAAAAAAAATCAAATGCAGAAGTCAATTGCCCATGCATCTGGCCATTTTCTTCTGCTCAGCTACATCAAAGCAACCTGCAGGGAAATCTGACTTTATTTAAGTGTTTTTTTCTCCAAAAAAAAAAAAAAAAAGGGGGGGGGGGGGGGCTCAGTGTTCGTAACATCAGAAAAAACTGAATCACTTTTCTTCAAACTTGGAACATTTATTAGATCTCTGGGCAAGTTTCTTAACAAGCCAACCTTGTTCAAAATCCATTTAGATAAACTTGACTTATTCGTGCATACATTTTATGGTTAAACTATTTGATATGGGATTTTGATGTTTTATGGTGTTCCACAGATCAGTCATTCCTCGCATGCTGAGATTGATAAACACACACAGTAGTTGCCATTGCAAAATGTACTTTGATGTTTGACTTTACTGTGTCAGTTCTATTAAGCTGCTACAAACATCACAGTATGATCACATATTGTTTTACAGAAAGTGTTGGGTTTTTGGGGGGGGGGGGCGGTTACAGCGTTTGCCCACATCCTCAGCCAGTTGACACCAGCTGAGGATCTGGGTCTTGTGTATTTTAACTGTGCATGCTGAAGATTTTCATAATGCAAAAGCTACATAATCTGTATGTAAATAATCGATCGGTACAAAAATATGTTACTTCTGGAAGGCATATGAGACATGGCACGTCCCCATTTTGCTGAGGTGCCCTCTGGTGCCAGTTGTCTTCATACCATAGTCTCAGGGGTCATATCTAAAAGGCGCAGAACATCCTATTAAAGTCTCATATGAGACACGGTGTTGTTTTTTCTTGGCTTCAGAATTTACTGTGATCCCGCTGGGGAAGGTTGTGCTGTCACTTGCCATCTGCTTCTCTGCAACAAACACCTCCTCACCCTGGATCCTCATTTTAGTTCTTGGGCAAAACATAATTCTTTGAAACTTTTAAGGTCTGTCGACCTGCATGCTGAAGTAGATAAAGTTGCATTAAACAAGTGCAAGAAACTCAAAGTTACCTCTAAGTCCCCAACAGCTTGCTTTGGTTTTCTTCAGGTAACTGTGGCCAAAAAGTAAATTATTTGCGGCTTTTGGAGTAAAATATGTTCACGTGTTGTGCTGCTTCAGTGAGCAGATGCCTGTGTCCTATGTGCCGTTAACACGTCCTAAGTGTAATGTGTGACCTGGCCGCGAGTTGTTGTCATTTTGTAAAGTTTACTGACTTCAGCAACCAAGAAGGTGTGCAAAGTTAGCTGAAGCAGGTACTCCTGTATCTAGAAACCAACCATTTCTGATCAATAAAAAATCAGAGTTTTCCAAGTTCTCCTGTGAGTGAGAGATGGTGTATCTAGATGCCCAATCTCTGGGCAAGTGAAGAGAGGGTAGTTGCAAGGAAGACATGGTAGTTTCCACTTGGTATGCCCTAGCCCCAAAATGGGTGACTTACCCTTATGTGACCTTTCCTTCTGTTGGTACACACTTCCGTAAGTCATCCCACACATCCTTTCCATGATCGTTTCCATCCTGAATATCAGCCAACTGCAAAACTGCAGGTTCCCCAATATTACTGGGTTGCAAATGACTATTTAGAAGAGGGGAGATTGATTCCTCTATAAAATGGACTCCTGGTCCAGAAACTTCCTGGACCTCCTTACCCATTTGCACTGCAATATGCACCGCCATTTACACCAGTGCAAATGGGTTATGAATAGTAACCACTGCATTCAAGTTGCACTGGCGTGACCGACTAAATGCACAGGCCATAACAGAATTGAGTACTTTATGGACACAGACAGTGAAAACGAATGTAGCTAAAGGCACAAACTCATCACGGTCCAAACACACAGATAGCCAAAGGATCTATAGCTGTCTGAATGAAAAATGTCATTCGGCAACGAGGTGCCATTTAACTACCGAGCCAGTCTCTGCAGCAATTTGCATTTCTTGTTTAGGTCTCCATATCTCACACTTGAAAAGAGCAACCTGACAATGCAATAAAACACGTACCTGATATAGTCAGACCTAACTCCTGAGTGAAACGTATATGTAGTAACTTGAAGGCTTAAAATAAGCAAACCACAGCTTTGTAATGGAAACCTCAGTAGAGAAAAGGCTGAGGTGAGTCTGAAGTCATGACAGGATGGCATAAGGAGGGCTGGAGGTTTCACATACAGAGCTAATGGTAGACGTGAAACACACAGCTTGTGTGATTTATCATAGTTCCACTGACAGGGTTCATCTCATAAGCTGGATTTGAATTTGAATTCATATTTTCATTTCTACCTAGGAGAACTTTTACAATCTCTGATCTCTCCTATGCCTGATGAAGGGTGTGTGCGCCCGAAAGCTTGCAGATAAATACAATAATTTGTTAATTTAAAGGTATTATGTCGAGCAAGGATTCAACTACCATCCTCCCCTGTAGACAGGCACCTCTTCCAAACCCATCCCACTCTCACTCAGCTACTGCGTCTCCCTACCGAATCTGATCTGCACATCCTGTATTCATCTCATTTATTTTTCTTGCTGGTTCTTGCTATGGTTATTTTGTCATCATAACATTGTAAGAGCTGAGACTAGCTATCAATAGACTTCCTGAATCACGTATTTTCCTACCATTCTCCATGGGTACATCGAGTAGCCCTCTACAGTGTTGGTTTTAAGTATTCAAGGCCTTGTTACATATTCATTTTAGGCATGTCCTGGAGCTCTTAACCCCTGGACTCACCACACATTAACACCTGAAACTAGTTTTAAGCACACTTTAGGTGGCTTAAAGTTACGCCACTCCGGGGCAGGTTTATCTCTGATCCATGTTACCCAGTTTATGGTCTGTTAATGTGTGGGCACTCTCCACAGAGGAGCCACCCAAGCTGCAGTCCATGAGCATCCCAGGGTGTAGTGTCCCCTTTCCCACCCTCCTGTTGTGTGTGAACAAACTGTCCACCTCCAGACCTCTACTGCCCAGGGGGTAGTTTTGACACCAAGCTAACTCCCCCTCCCACCTCTGGGAATATGAGCTTCCCACTCCCAGGGGTGCAACCCCGTGAAAACAACCTGCAGAGCACATGCCAGCTATCCAAGTTTCAGGGCAGAGAAGGGTCCAGGACTGGGGTTCAGTGGGGGTGGGGGAGAACAAGTTAGGGGGCCAGATTGGGTCCCCATGAGATGGGGTTTCCTTCCCAGGGCAGGGGCAGGAGCTCCTCCAAAAGTACCTTCCCTCACCACACTCACCTCCCAGCCACCTTAGGAAGCACAATCAGCACCCCTCACACCCTAACACCGAATCCCAATTTATTAAAGCATGAGACCATTTTTCATTTACTGCCTCTTCATTTCTTTTTAATTTAACTTATTTTTGTAGTATCCTTAAGTGGCTGGCTGACTTCCTTTTACCACCTTTGCCCCACTCCTGTTTCCTTTCCACCTCCTATTTCATGATCAGCCCCCGTCCCATTAACTCTCTACCTCCCAGCTTCCCCTCCCCGTCAACCCATCTCTCATACCCCCACTCTCCCTCCCCCTCAACCCATCTCTCATACCCCCGCACCTAGAGCGCAGCAACTCACAAGTGTAACTCCTAATCAGGCCCCTGCTTGCCAGCCTTCTCACAGCAAGTCACAGCTGTGCAGGTGGGGAAAGTTTGAGAACGTTTTTAACCTTAATGTGTGACTGCTCCGAACTCAAGCTAGCACTAGTACTTAATATTTCAGTGTTCTGGCATTTTGCAACAAAGCCCTTAGTTCTCTTTTATCCATGTTTCACATAGCTTAGTCCTTGAAAAGGCATAAGGATCTCATTCTGTGATCACCAGCTTTTAAGGGGACTGATCAAATGCTCTAATCCCACGCCATATATTTTGAAGGTTGACCACAACTCATGGCGGATACCTTCTTTCAAAGTGCAGAAGAAAATCCAGCATCTTGATTATAGAAAATGGTTTGTTTTGTGCTTAATCATTTGCAGATCCCTTTGGGAAGACAGATGAGAGGGAACCACTTACCAATGCAGTCAGAAGTGACTCCGCTGTGATTGGAGGTAACCTTTAATTTTTATTTTTTTTAATGCTATAATTTAAACATATTTTAACCACAACATGAATATGGGGTATTTCCAGTGAAGACTCAGCAGCATAGTCTGCTCATTCTTTTTTACTATATTTTAGCGGAATCCCAAGGTTCGACTCAGAATCAAAATGCAACATAGCTAGGGACTGGATAAAATGAATAAAGATTGTCTACATTGAAGAATTTTAAAATGTTTTAATAAAATACAAAAGAACACCTGTCCTTCTGAGACATAGCTACATTATAAATGTTTGTATAACTCTGTGATTAGTACTGTACCATGGAGGTCAGGGCTCATCTATCTTCTGGCCTCTCTCTCCTTTTTGGTGTCTATGATGGAATTCCTCAGACCATATGAAGACTCGCTAATAAACCACATCACCTGTTGCCTCATGAGTGGTCCTAATGCCTCCATAGATTGTTTTCTATGTTTATTTGACAGTCCGGTCAGATGATTCAACCCAGCATATTATACCTGATGCTTGTTTTTTGTGGCAACTGGAGCTTGGCAAACACCTGCATCCTGCAGCTCAAATCTATGCAAGTTATATGAAAATGCAATTTAATAAGAAGAAAGTGAAGCAAAGGGGGAACTGGCAGGTGCATAAGGCATGGGGTCTGGAGAATGTGGGATTCACCGTGTTCTCACTGGAGATAGTAGTTAACTTTATAATGCTTCCTTCTTTTGAAAATCCCACCACAAGAGGATAAATACAGACCTACCTGATCTATTTGCCAGCCAACACTGGTGAAATCTTTTTTTATGTTTCCCCTTCAAATTCTTATTTACCTTTCCTCTCCCCCCAGGTGTAATAGCAGTAGTGATATTCATCATCTTTTGCATCGTTGCCATCATGAGTCGATTCCTCTACCAGCACAAACAGACGCATCGAAGTAACCAGGCAAAAGAGAAAGAGTACCCAGAAAACCTTGACCGCTCCTTTAAGACTGATATTGACTTGCAGAATACAGTGAGCGAGTGCAAACGGGAATATTTCATCTGATGGACTCTCCCGATCCTTTGACACATTTTCCTCCCCTGTCCCTCTTTTCTTTCTGTCTTTCCTTCTTTTTTTTTTTTTTTAAAACACGCTCATTTCTGCAAGCTTTATTTCTTATGGAAAGAGACCACCCTGCACAGGAGAGATTGGCAGCAATGACAGTGCCTCGTTCTCCTCACAAAAACCTGTCACAGTTGCACTTAAACTCAAGAGACCTGCTGTTCTACTCTAGACAGAATAAGATCCACATGTACGCATGGTTGCCTGTTTTAAATTCCTGGATTTCTCAAGTCTTATGTTGGGGTTGTTGGTTTTTTGTTGGGTTTTTTTATGCCATTTCCTCCATCACTTTGCATCTGACCTGAGCGATATAAACTAGAGGTCAAGTACCTAAATAAGTAGCACTACAGCTATCGGGGTAGGGTAGAGGGAACGAATGAGAACATTTCCAGGTGCATTTCTACCGGTCATAAAGCACCAGCTATATCTTCAACAGATATAAATTGACATAACTCCATGGATTCCAGTAGTGTTATGACAATTTATACCAGCTGAGGATCTGGAATGGCATTAAAAGCATTGTTTTCTTTCTCTTTAGGCTACTTCCCCCACCCTGCTGTCCTTTTACTGTAACTTTAAGGCTTAAAAATGTTTTAAAAATAGGAATATGGATAACACCCTTGGCCAGAATGCCATTCCAGTGCACCTTGTACACCACTGTTTCATAAGGCTGGCTATTTCGAACCAGCGTACTCTAGCATAAATTTAGATGAAGCATGGAAAATTGTAGCTTGACTCTTCAAGGGTTTTAGGAAGCTGCTAGAAGTTAGGTGCTCTATAAATTTCTCTGATGACTCGTCTGTAACTTTAGAAGTGCAGCATACACCAGTTAACATTATATAGAGGGTGATCATGTACTGAAGTCAACCATTTAACCTATTGGGGCAAAACACAACCAAATTAAGAAGGAAACTAACAGCACTCCAATCATCTGACCTAAATCGTGCTGATTCATGGTTAAGAAGCCAACCCAAACTGTTATTAAACTGCTTTAAAAACTGCATGATAGAAAGGACAGTGTTTCCTGTCTGTAGAAACCAAGATGTTTGCCCCAAAGCTATGTTTAAGGAAAAGGCTTGAAGTGGCTTCTATAAAGCCACTTTAGCAAACTCACAAGGAAAAGTCTTAAGGGAACGTGTCAAAAGGTCTGAATTTTGATTGATTTATTTTCTTCTCTCTTGTTTTCCAAAGATTTCTTTTCTATCCTGTTAGGGATACCGGGCAAAACAAATCGTAAGGGCTCTGTTCTGGCCAGCTTTACTCTTCCTCAGTGCGTGCATCTACACATGCAGTTTAATGTGTATTAGCCTATTTTTATTTTCATTAGTGTCACAAATGCTGTGCTCTTTAGCTAATGTACATTAAAATAGGCTAATGCATATTTTTTCTAGTACCTCACAATGGAGGTACTATATTTAATGCACGTTACATAAAGTGCATTAATTGAATGTGTAGATGCTCCTGATGCCTAAGCATGGTGTTAAATCCCTATGTTGCTTGCATAATGTGACAAGGGAAAATGCTGCACCTGCAGAAGTATTTTGTTTTTGCTTGCTCATTTGTTTTTCTAAACCCAGCATCCATTTGCATGGTGCTCACACTTCCTTTATTATTGCTAAGAGACAGTGACAGTGTGAATGGAGCCTGAGGAACGTGTCAGTGGAAAGTTCTGCTCCAATCCTCACATAAAATGGGAATCTTCCTCTTGTCTTCTTTGAGCTTTGGAGAAGACTCAAAAGATTCAACCCCATGCGAGGATCTATTCCCTCTAAGTCGCAAACCATTACCAAGCCACATACAGTTTTCTTTAGGACCACAGGGATTTAAACTCATGAAATCCGATGTAGGATCAAAAATGATGACAAAGAGTAGATTGAAATGTAGATGCACAAAGCATTTGGGCTAAGTATGGACAGTCAAAAAGTGCAAGGCTGAATTGATTCAGTCTTTGTGGGTTAGTCTAAACTGTGTAGACTGAACCGATAAGCAAGTGAACAGACATTCACTTTTCATTCCAGAAATGCAGCCACATGCCTACAGTGGCCCAGGGCAGAAGCTGGAGGGTGCTAGAGCATGCCTCCCTGCTACGCTGGAGCAGACAACATGGGCCAAAGCTAGCCCACCAGTAAGGGGGGGCTAGCAGGGGAGGGGCAAAACATCCTGGGATGCTGGGGGACTGTGATTTAACTTTAATCTGGAGGGGATTTGGGACAGTAGTTCAATAAACTCACTGAAACTAAATCAGTTAAGTCTGATACTACTTTCATCCAGGTTTATCTTAAACCTGTTTTGGCCATTTTGAAAGTGGTGTATGGCAGCGAACTTCTGTTGTGTTACAGATTTGAACCAATTTCCGATCACTTATACCGGTTTATGAGTAACTTCTGTCCCTAGCCTAGGAGGCTGGGACTTGCACAGATCACATAGATGTGCAGTAGGGTTTTTTGGGAGGGATAAAACCATTTTATTAATGCCCCTTAGCTTAATGATGCTTTATGATTATCCACAGAGAAGAAGTTAGGTTAGAGAAGGAATGTGAGACCCTTTTGGCTTGATATTCAACTCTCTAAATTGCGCTGTAATCATCTTTGGCTGGCTGGGTATCCTCTGAGGTGAGAGTTAAAATTAAAACCTGGCCAACACAATGAACAGCAGATTGACCCATCTGCTTTACAGTGTGGGACCGTTTCAAAGTAGTGATGGGGCTACTTTTCCCCATTCCTGACAGCAGCAGCTATCATGTCTTATGGTGGCTGTTTGTATAATGTTTGAATATTCAAGATTCCCTTTGCATTTCATAACTCATAATGATGTGTTCGTTAACTGCATCCCTTTTTGAAACTTAATTTTTCTACCAAGAAGATCCTTGGCAAATGGCTTCTCTCATAGATAAAGTATTTTTTTGTAGAGAAAAACAAACAGGAACAAATTGTGTTTTTCTGTTTCTTTGGACTCCAGATTTCCCCTCATTATTTTCAGCAAGATTTTGTCCCAGTCATCTCATTTAAATGATCTTAGCAAGAGGGTGCTTTTAATTTATAACATGGTTAATTGCTTCTGTGAAGAATAATGGAGAGAGGAGGAGGACATCCACATGTTAGTCAGATAAATTATTTTTCCCACAAATTACTGTACTGTGCATTTTTTCCTGGTCAACACAACGGATATAAATCATCCTTGTACTCTGCTACATACTCTTTTTCTTTTCATGACATAAAAGTCACAAGGAAATGTAGTGAGCCTAGCCCCAAGCAGATCCAGTGATAAAATGGATGGGAAAGGGAAAGTTTGAGTAATAAAGCAAAATCATCTTATTATTCAAGTCTCTGAGAAGACATGTCTGTTTTTCCTGTCCTAGAATTGGGACCTATAACATGCTGATCATATTCAACTAAGATCAAGATGAGGGGCATTTCTGGCACTGTATGCACACACATGCATTTACACACCTTGCACCCTCATGTATGTATAATATACACACCAGTTTCATGACAATTTGGCAGGAGTATTGCAATACAGGATGCATGTGTATATTTATGGAATTGCAAAGGGAAAGAACTAGTGAGTCCCCATCTCAGCACAGGATGCAAGGCTATTTGTACCTAGTAAACATTGCTAGCCCAAGATATTTATCTGTGTGAGTAGATTTATATGCATATAAGCCCAGACTCAGAAATGTAATCTCCTGTTATTGACTTCAATAACATTATTTAAATGCTTAAAGTTAGACACATGCTTAAGTACTTTGCTGGATCGTGACCTTAATCAGCATCAAAACATGTTAGTTGTGTTGGTTTGTATTTATTATTTTATTTGTGGGGTTTATGTTGTTCATAGGATCGTAAAAAAGTAGGGCTGGAAGGGACCTCATAAGGTTATCTAGTCCAACCACCTTGTTCAACCCCTAATGAAACCATTCCACACAAGTGTCTGTCCAACCTGCTCTTGAGATTTTCCAAGGATGGAGGTTGCATAACTTCTCTAGACAGCCTGTTACGATGCTTGACCATCCTCATAGTCAGAAAGTTCCTCCTGATCTTCAGCCTAAATTTATCTTGCTATAGCTTGAGGCCGTTGCTCCTAGACCTGTCCCCTACAGCCACCAATAAAAGTTTATCTCCAGCCTCTCTATAATTGCCCTTCAAGTATTTGAAGACTACTATCAAATCTCCCCCTCAGTCTTCTCTTCTCCAGACTAAATAACTCTAGTTCTTTCAGTCCTTCCTCATAAGTCTTCCCTTCCAGGCATCTCCCTATAAGTCTTTACCTTGATCACTTTCCCTGATTTGCAGGTGACACTGTTATCAATACAACCCAGGATGCTGTTGGCTTTTTTGAACTCTGTTGGCTCATATTCAGCATATAGTCCACTGTAATCCCCAGATCCTTCTCTGCAGTGTTGCAATCTAGCCATTCATTCCCTAGTCTGTATTTGCACAAGCAGTTATACTATCCCAGATGCAAAATTTTAAATTTTTCATGTTGAATCTCATCTGATTGATTGCAGACCATTTTTCCAATCTCTCCAGGTTGTTCTCAATCCTAGCCCTACCCTGCTGGGTGTCTGCAACTCCACCCACCTTGGTGCCATCTGCAAATGCGCTAAGCACACACTCAATTCCATCATCCAAATCATAAATGAGGATATTAAACCACATCATAGGACAGACCCCTGGGGAATTCTACTTGATACTTCCTCCCAACTACATATTGAGCCATTGACTACTCATTGAGCATAATGATCCAACCAGTTACGTATCCACATTACAATACTTTTGCCTCGTCTATGTTTCCTAAGCTTGCTAATGAGTATGTCGCAGGAAACAGTATCAAAAGCTTTTGTAAAGTTCAGGCACATCACATCCACTGCTCTACACTCACCCGTACAGCCTGCCGAAATCAGGTTGGTCAGGCATGACTTGTTCTTGGTGAACCCATGCTGGCTGCTCCTTATCATCTTGTTGTCCTCTAGGTGTTTCACAGAAGATTCCTTGAGGACCTGCTGATGCTGGTTTGCTTTTGTTTGCTTGTCTTCAATTTTTTAAAATCCAATTAGTTTGCTTATTATCTTCATTTAACCTTATGATAAAGGACAGATAAATAGGCCCAGGTAGTCATATAAGGCAGGGTGGAACCTCAAGAAGTCATCTAGCATATTCACCCACTCCAAGGCAGGATCATGTCTGATGTTTATCTAACCGGT